CGGGGGCTAGGCCGGTTCGTACTCGGCCAGCTAGCGCCAATCTACCGGCCATGGTGTATAAACGCGTGTACTGTAAACGCGTGTACTGTAAACGCGTGTACTGTAAACGCGTGTGCACTGTAAACGCGTGTGCACTGTAAACGCGTGTGCACTGTAAACGCGTGTGCACTGTAAACGCGTGTGCACTGTAAACGCGTGTGCACTGTAAACGCGTGTACTGTAAAACGCGTGTACTGTAAAACGCGTGTGCACTGTAAACGCGTGTGCACTGTAGGGGGCTAGGCCCGGGGGCTAGGCCCGGGGGCTAGGCCGGTTCGTACTCGGCCAGCTAGCGCCAATCTACCGGCCATGGTGTATAAACGCGTGTACTGTAAACGCGTGTACTGTAAACGCGTGTACTGTAAACGCGTGTGCACTGTAAACGCGTGTGCACTGTAAACGACACCGTTAAGGCGATCACAGAGTTAGGCAAAGCTTTAGGGATACCGTTGGTGCGGTCACAGAGTTAGGCAAAACTTAAGCGAGACCGTTAAGGTGGTCACAGAGTTAGGCAAAGTACATGTTGCAGTTCTGACTAATATCGCTGATGGCGCTGTGAGACCGTAGGATGGTAAAGGAAGGCCTCATAGCCTGCATGTTTTATGCCTGATGACAAGCAAAGATCTCATAGGCTGCGTGTTTTATGCCTGATGAGAAGACAAGACCTCATAGTCTGCATGATTTATGCCTGATGAGAAGACAGGCCTCACAGCCTGCATGTTGTATGCCTGATGAGAAGACAAGACCTCATAAGCTGCATGATTTATGCCTGATGACAGGACTCATAGGCTGCATGTGCTCATAGGCTACATGATCTATGCCTGATGACATGACCTCATAGGTGACATGTTCTTTGCCTGATGACAAGGCCTCATAGATTTCAAGTTGGTGTGCCTGATTATAAGATCTCATAGGTTACATGTGTTATGCCTGATTATAATGAGTTGTTTATTGCAAGTTCTTGCCCGAGGGCTAATTGCAAACAGACATTGACAAATGTGGTGCTATAAAACTATATGCTTACATGAAGTTCTACTTGTACGATATACTTATTAAACCTACTATCTCTACTTAAATCTAATAACTTTGGTACCCAGGATAAACAGTGGATAAGCAATACTAGTACATAAACAGGTAAGAGGAACAAGGTAAGTGCTATTCTAATCTATTCTATTCTATTAAACTATTCTTGCTATTAGGGGGGTTGGCTTCTTCTCAGGATGCAGTGGGAGATGAATTGTCCGACTCTTTGAAAAATAGATGGGTTGGGAGACTTTAGCAGTAATATAGTCTGTTGTTGTTTGCTGAGATATGAAAAATTTGGGGAAATGTTGGCGACTTCCTTGAATAACTTTTTTCTTTCAAAATCGTAATGAGGACACTGACAGATAAAATGAATTTCATCTTCCACTGCTCCCTCTGTACAATACTTTCAGAGCCTTTCGCTTACAGACAGTTTCATTCATTCATTCATTTCATATATACTTTTGATTTGTTAACTGTCACTTAATTATAGCTGATTTAGCTGTTACTTTTTTACCGCTAAAATTTCAGTACCTTAATACATTGTATTTGAACACTTTGATCATCTGCCTTGTCCACACCGCTAAAATTAAGTGCCGTGAGCTAGTCCATTTTCCTCCCACCGCTATAATTTCCAACCGCAATATTAAATGGAATTACAGTAACAAGGTAAGGTTCCTTTGGCGGCGCCCATCTCCGTTTCTGTAGCCACTGGGCCACACAGTTCTGCAATCACTACAGCAGGGGGTTAGTCCACTGGTAGCGATGTGGGTTTAACTCCCATACTCTTTCCCAAACGCTAAATGCTAACTCCCATACTCTTTCCCAAGTGCTAAGCAGAGAAAGCAGTATGTACCATTTGTAAAGTCTTTGTTAGGACTCGGCCGGGGATCGAACTCACAACCTACCAAATGCAAGGCGAACACTCTACGGTCTACCTACTTGGCCACTAGCTGCACCGGAACATTACATTGAGTAGAAAATCTAATGCTAAGTCCCTGTCATGCATTTGCGCATGAAGAACCTTCCCCCAAACACAATTTTTCGTTACCACTAATAAAACAATTACGAAAGATCTCTTCACTGTGATTGGTTGCTAAGGTATTCCTTCCCGTTGCTTGGCGCATTCGGTAAAGTATGGGTTACAAGACACAATATTTGGACTAACCGTAAAACAAGAAAAAAGCTACAGCAACATCAACAACAAGAACAAAATATTTACCTTCAGGTAAGATACAGTCATCCACCAGTTTGGTCACAATGGCGCTTGTTTTTATGGACCTCTTCTCTGCCGGTCCAGGGCGGCTTTTTGGCCTTGGAGGTAAAAAAAAAAGAAAGTAAGGCAAGCAGAACTTTTTTTTTTCAAAATGTTACCTGAATACTATAGAAGTCACATTTGCAAAGCAAATGCAGGATGTTTACCTTCGGACATGGTCTGCTCTGTTAATTCTTACTCAAACACATTCACATACATGTACTACTAGTATATATAGTATATATAGGAGCAGAGCAGACCATAAAATTGCAACATTATGTAACCCAACACCAGTCACCATGGTGACAGACGTCAACAAACATGTCATTAGTCAGGTCAGAGGTCACTGTTTGGAGAAGAAGAAGAAGAAGAAACAGAGCAAAAACAATATGTTTTCCTTCGGTAGACATAACCAGAACCTACGAAACAGCTAGCTACAAATGAATGAAAATAAACATCTGCAATAGCTATGAAACTATGAATGAAAAATAAACCAAAACACACTTACTTTTCAGCAAATGCATTCCCAATCCACTTTAAGCTCGGCACCACCAGTGCTTCGAGGAAGGCTTTGGGGCTTGGTCCTGGTTGAGGAACGAAGTAGCTGGTGGACTTGATCTTAGTCTTCCTCTCACTTATCTTCACCAGTTCCAGCTATATGAGAGTCAAAATGGATGATGAGGAATGGTTTATTCAAATATAAATCAAGATTGCTGATTATAAATGTACTCAAAACTTCTAAGATATGAAACATGAAAACGTTTGTATCAGCATATTCCAATAAGAACATAGACTATTGTAATGATCGCTAAATATGAATATGCATTTGTAAAATCTAAAGTTAAGTACCATAATACGAACGAATTGTAGCGATATTTTAAGATTGGTAGTATGGTATGGCATAGATTTTATGTATGACAAGGACAATCGATGGATATTTTTATATCCTTACCCTTCAAACTTGTCACTGTTGAAAGAATCCTCTAGTAACTGTATCTATCCGTGACAAATAAATCTCTTCAATGATGATGCTCACCTTTTTACGAAAGTACAGAACACGCATGGCGTCATTTTTGAAAACCTCGAACGTGAGACTTGCAGGTTTCTCCGTTGTCCCCACAAGACGTTCTTCGACAGACCCCGCCCCGAAGAGGACCTTCCTTCGCAGGTCGGTGTTTTGGTAGTCGGGCAGGACCTGGACGCCAGTCGCACCCATCATCCAGGACACGTTCCCCCAGTCGCGGAAGGTGTCCCACATCTTCTGGAAGGAGCAGTCGACATCGACGTCGAATTGCAGCACGTCGCCCTTCTTGTCAGCAATAGCGGCCATAATCTGCATAAGGGGAACATTTGTAGAAACGAGAGAAGTGGATCATCTTTCTGTGCACACAGGTATGATATTAACCCCCAAACACCCGAACTTTTTTTGTGACGTTAATGCCCGAACGGGGTCCAAATGGACCCCATTTGGTTTCTTTCAAATTTATATTCCTTTTTGCATCCTTTCAGTGACCTTTGCACATATATTGGTTAAACATATCAAGACGTTTATTTTGACATGATTAAGTGTTAAAAAATTCCAGCTCATTATCATAATTTATGCAAAAATAGGACGAGGCCTGCAGGCATGAACATAGGGTTGACCTTTGACCTCATATGATTGTCAAATTGTCAAACCTCTGAAAACCTGATGAAATAATTCCTGAGGTTGAGGTTACTTGACAAACTGCATAATAAAAACTAGAGTTAAACTGAAACTTAAAACTGAAACTGTTTTATTCACATTGATTGGCAGCCAATATTCATTGCTTGGCTGAATTGCACAAGTGATTACATGTTAAAATAGCTTGAAAGAGATACACATTAAAAAGCACAACATTGACGATTAAAATTAAATAGATTTAAAATTTTGTAGGTCAGGTCCATTAAAACAGAGGCGGACTATTTACACATCTTGATTGCTGAGGCTTATTGCCTGACACAGAAAAGATTTCCTCAGTCTTTCAGTTCTGAACTTTGGTATGGAGATGTGGTTTCCATTTCTCAGGGACCGCCGTGTGCTCTGGTGTCTGTCGCAGGGCATCAAAGAATGCAAAGGGTGGCTGACATGCCGCATTTGCTTGAGCAGAGTTTTTGCTGCAGTTTCCCGTCTGTCCTGGAGGGTGGAGAAGGGGTTGTTTGAGTGCTGTTGCCGTAAATGATTCTCGCCGCCCTTCTCTGTACAGCCTCAAGAGTGTTGTTCTGTTTTGTGTTACAGCCCACGTACACGACATTTGCATACTCTAACACAGGTCGTATCAGAGTCGTATACACAGTTTCCAGGTCCTCTGGTGGCATCCCGCCCTTCTTGAGCATGCGGAGAAAGTGAAGACGAGTTGAGCCTTTCTTTGCCATGTGTAAGATTTGGCTGTCCCACCCAAGGCTGCGGTGAAGTTTGAAGCCCAGATACGTGGCACATTCAACAACCGGGACTTCTTTGCCTCCAAGTGTGAGGGGAGGTGGAACAGGTGGATGTTTTGAAAAGCACAGTCTCAACTCATAGGACTTATCCCCGTTCATAATCATATTGTTCTTGTTCGCCCAGGTGTCAAGTTGCGTAGCTTCCTCTTGCATAGTTGTGTCGCTTTCAACAGTGTCACATGTGAACGTTCTGGACAGTCCGATGTCGTCTGCATAACCGATGTTGCTGGTTGTTTGGTGCACAGTTTCTCTTGACGACATGTACACAAGGAACAGGTACGGAGAAAGCACTCCCCCTTGTGGCACTCCTGATGTGACGACGTTCCAGTTGCTCTGCTGGTTGTTGGCGACTACGCGTTGTTTTCGGCCAGTGAGGTAGCTGTGTATCCAGCCAAGCATCTTAGGTGGGGTGTCACGGACAGCTAGGAGTTGGAGAAGGATTCCGTGATCAACTCTGTCGAATGCTTTAGACATATCTGTCAGCAGCACGCGAACCATGGATGTGTCTCTGTTTTCCAAGTTCGATAGCCATGTCTGATAGGCTTTTACAAGTGCGAGAGTTGTAGAACATTTGGGCATGTACGCGTACTGGTCCTTAATCCAGGGGGACATGAGGGGCAACAATTTGTTCAAAACTAGCCTTTCCTGAACTTTCCCCAAAGGAGAGATAAGGGAGATGGGTCTCCAGTCTTTTTTGCTGGTGGGGACGGACGTCTTGGGGATAGGACAGTTCCCCGATCTCATACCTTCGCCAAATGATGTTAACCTTTATGATTGACAAATTATAGATTATTCCCCCGATTTAACAAATAGGATCCTCATTTTCATGAATTATATCATTTTATCATATTCTCAACCAAAAGACAGTCTTATTAACAAACAATGCCATTCTAGCATTTCCTCATAAATTATGCAAATGAGGTCCTAATTTGAATACATTATGTTTAATGATGTTCACCTTCACCTACCATTCAAATACCACAAGTATTAAATTCCAGGCACTTATCATTACATACTTATAAAATTTTCTCATTAATTATGCAAATTAAGTCCTCATTTACATAATCAATATCTGCCTGTGTTTCTCTCGTCCTCAATTACCAATTTCACAAGCTTCATTAGTCCTATCATGGAATACAGCTGATTTATTGAATTTTGCCATAAATTATGCAAATTACATCCATATTTGCATAATTGTATCAAGCATCACGTAAGCTACCTACATACCAAAAATCATGACTATCCGTTACCTGGTTCTTGAGTTATCCTCTTTTGAATATTTTCAGACATATAGCCCTGCAGTCCCAGAGCAAGCCGCTAGGGGGCCCAAACTTACGTCACTTCTTTCCCAGCCCAAGAGCTACCTACCATACAAATTTCGTCACCCTAGCATGTCTAGATCATGAGATATCAAAACCGAAAGTTCAGCTGCAGTACCATAACAAGACGCTAGGGGGTCCAAAATCTAATCATTTTGAGGTCTCATCAAGACCTACCCACCTACCAAGTATCAAGGCAATCCCTCAAGGCCTTCTCAAGTTATCGTGTTTACAGACAGACACACACACACACACACACACACACATACACGAACGCCTCTGAAAACATAACCTTCTTGGCGAAGGTAAAAATAATGCTTCCTTGAGGACATATTGAGGACATCCGAACGATTTCGTGTGTAGCAAAGTGCAAATACATAGCTGGGGTCCGTTTGGACCCCAGACGGTCTTACATCAGACTTCCGTTGTTATTTTTACAAATTTGTGCCGATCTCCAAAAAAAATTTAGGAGAACTTGCAATTGTAGGAGAGGTTTACTGACATAGTCACGGGAGGAATTTTTTTTAGAACAAGAAAAATTCAAATAGCACATAAAAATATACGTCTGGGGTCCAAATGGACCCCGTTCGAGTGTTTGAGGGTTAAAGACTACTCTATTGTACCAAGACTATTATGTATGATTTTAAAACAAAGTGTACACATGCAAGCCAGCATAGTACGAGTACACTTTGTTTTCTGTTTTCCGTCAAAAGGTCTGGACTCAGAGGGTCTTTTTGTCCTTTTCTTTTCTGTGCTATGTCCGAAACCTCGAGCTCAGCTTAGCAGAAGTACAAAATAACATTTCTTATACGGTACGTTGTTTCAACAAGTTTAAGGACCCTCGAGCTCAGTGTTATACAAGTCATTTAACTCGGCAACATGTATTTTATTATGAAGGCAATACTGGCTCTCCTCAGCGGGTCGAGGGTGGCTGATAGTCAGTATCAGCCCCCGCCCCGGCCCACTGAAGGTTGATCTTTAACTTTACTAATAGTATCCTTCATGTAAAAAAGATACACTGACGATAATGTTTGTTTTCATACCTTGTTGATATGGCTGCGAAGCATGTACTTTGCGAAGGAAATACGGGGTCTCCCCATCGGGCCGAGGGTGGCTGATAGTCAGTATCAGCCCCCGTCCCGGCTCACTGAAGGTTGATCTAAACGATCCTTAAACGTATAAAAGATACCCTGACGATAATACTTGTTCCATACCTTGTTGATATGGCTGCGAAGCATGTACTTGGAGAAGGCAATACGGGCTCTCCTCTGGTTGTAGTCCTCTAGGGCGAATATTCCCTTGGCGGTCACCGTAACTTTTGCGGTCTCACTTGTATCCTCATCCACCTGCAGTATGATATGATAAATATTAAATATTAGTTCATTTCATAACTAGTGCTTCATAGGGGAGATTTTGAGATTGCAACCCAAGAGCGCTAAAATCTCAACCCATGCATTGAAACGTTATTTTCAGTCTTCGCAGGGAAAAGATAAATGTGTTTGGCATTATTAGTATTTTTGGTGTGTGCAGGCGCCCTTCTTGCTAGCTCGCGCTCCCCTCCTTTCTTCCGCTAACGGATATAATCTTTTACGTTATTTTGTTTATTTCCTCATACATTATCATAGCTTGTCATTTTTCAAATAAAATAAACACAGATGAGTAAAGAAATGTATAAAAGGAAAAAACAATGTGCAGGAGGAGGGTGGAATCCTACAAGACTTATACAGTATGTAGGAAGTCTTACTTCACCTTGAAGGTAACTAGATAGGATTTAAAGACGGGGTTGCTGCCCAGCATGGAGACAGCCCAAGTCTTAGTGGCCTCGTCCTTCTCAACGAGCTCCTCTTGTGCCCTTCCGCCTGGGAAGTCGAACTCGACCACCGTCCCCACCCCTCCGTCTCCTGTAAGCCAACGTCATGCAGAAACTCGAATTACCTTATTAACATGTTGTCTCAGAAAACTAAAAAAATGGCGACCCTAGACCTAGTTGCCTATGGACTTCAGGTCAAAGGTCATTGACATGTCTGCCTAAAGGCATCTTGTTTCAGGTGCATAAATTATGATAATGAGCGGTAATTATTCACACCTAATTCTGTCAAACTGTTCATCATAGATTAATGAAACTATACATACTTAAAAGTCACAAAATAGAGTCACAAGAAAGCTATATTCGTGCAAAACATTATGGGGTCAGTTTTTAACCCATACGGTAAGATTCGTCGCAAAACACCTACGGTACCGAACAGGATTACTTCAAGAGAGGCATAAAAGAGGCCATATACATCAGGGCACTTAAACCACGGGACGAGGGGCGATATCGACTTCAGACAACCTTTGACCCTTTGCTGACGTCACACGTAGGAAAAATCACGTGTCCACAGCATTTGGGTCAAATAGCTGAGGAAGACTGAGTGATTCAGTCGAAAATTTCTGGTGAGTCAAATTTTGAGTTGGAGAAAAGTTTGAGTTTCCTACGGTGGTTTAGTGTATATGTTGAATACATGCGTGCGTTGGGCTACTAGGCAAAGATAAGTATTCGCGTAGGGAAAAGGGACCTACTTTGAGGCCCTACATACATGTATGAATCCAAACCAACTGTTAACATATATCTTTCTTCATGCCTTTTGCAGCTTGAAGTTTTTGTCTTCTTATTTTCTTTAAAAAGATACATTACTCTACATATCACCCAGAACATGCATATGAATGGAATATATTTCCTAAATACGTTATAAAAATTAACTATCTTTTTAAATTTAAATTAACGTCAACTAACTTTCGAACAAAAGTGGTTTTAATTAATATCCGACAAAACAAGTTTACGTTTGCCAATATTTGTTGCTAATTGCATTATTCATGAAAACAGATCCCCTTCTCATATCTTACATCCTTCCCCATTTTTCCATAAAAATAGATGGTTCTAAGTTCTCGTACCTTTGATGGTCTCCACGTTTGCATGCAGGAAACTTCGCAGATGGAAGAAGTCATCGAAGCCGGACCAGTACACTTCCGCTGACACCGGAACTACTTCTGTATGGGTCAGGGTGATCTCCTTCCCAAACGCCAGGTCCTCTGTTAATTTAACAGTAAACAGTACATGCAGATCATGTAAACTGGTTGGCATATACGTGCAATTTTGGCGACGCCTCAGGGAGGGCCTAATGGTACAGTATTCTGTGCAATTTGCAAGAATTCTAGGAATTGTACAGGAATTTTATCCACAGGCATGGAATGTCCACAGAAATGTCAATTCGAGCACTGTTAATTTTGCTATTTTCATCTACTTATGCAAAAATAATAATGTACTGGCCAAATATTTAGTGTTTATATAGAAATATAGGAATGTTACTTACCATCAGGTACCTTGACACGCGAAAGGAATTGTTGGAAAGACATAGTTGTTGTAATCTTGTGATCCTCACCGTAGAAAATCCTGCATAAACATACAATAGCTCCAAATGACAGAATTTATACTTTCTGTAGTGGGAACTATGTAGAAGATTAGGCTCATTTTGTTTTACTATTCACAAACATGCGCAAATCTCTTAGTTAGGCCACAGCAAGTACATTTTATGAATGACACCCTCCTTAGACGCCATATCTAAGGTGGGCCAAAAAACAAGATTCCTACATTTTCAAATTTTGACATCATAAACCTTCTTAAACAAGAAATGATAACTATATTGTGCAAACTATTACAACATTCTTTTTTTTACCGAAAAACAACATAAAAAAATAAAACGTTTCAATCATTGAGTGTACAAATGGGTTTGATTCAGGTGACATTTTTGCCCATTTTCGGCATGTTGACGCGACCTCACTGTCAGAGGGCACGCGAAAACTAATGCACGCGCTCATGCCATCCATAAAATTACTTGCTGTCGCCTTACCCTACAATTAGAACAGACATATGCGCACTTATAACAAAGGACGAATTGTCCAAACTTCAGCCAAGAACTGGTTTTCGGCGGCTAGGACTGGGGGAAGGTCCCGGATGTGTGACAGAGGACCAGGGAGATGTGTCACGTGACCAGGAATATAGATCTGATTGGTCAGGATTTATGCCATGGACAAGGCCGTTTGAGAAGGGTCAAACGTCAACATGTGGTTAAGATCTTTTGTCTTCGTGAATAAAGCACATCTCGAGGTCATTCATAATTATCTTAGTAAGTGGTCTAACAGGTTTGGCCAACTAAAATTAAGGGGAGGGGCTCAAAATTTCTCTGTCTACACATACACACACACACACACACACACACACACACAAACACACACATATATATACTAGTATATATGCTGATAAAATAACTTTGATGTCAGTTCTCAACAATGATAGACTTTTTAAAAGATGACTACATTCCTTAAAAGATTAACAAACGAATCGAATGCTGTTTCCGAACTGCAAAAATAAACTGACACATAACATACGTGGTATAAAAGTAAGCGTTACCCATATTTTCCTGTCAATTAGAAAAATGCTTCTGTAAGCATGATATTAATTCTGATTTTTGTAAAGGGTCGTATCAAAAAGAATGAATGACTATCAAATGAGATGGTGTTACTATAGGTCAAGTGACCCCTCGGCTGAAACGAGCTCTTAATATGTGGTCCAACAGGTTTTAAAGGTCATTTTGTTTTAGGGGGGCGGGGCTCAAAAACTCTGTGTCTAGACACAAATCCTCATAGAAAACCTTCAAAATCAAATCTTCAGAACATAAAATACCATCTGGTTTACGCAAACACCAAAACAGTAAACTGTATCTCCTTGGTTATGCATTGACCCCCTCATGACCTCGATAAAATGAGGCCTGCAAGCTTCACATGAATAAAAAAAGGGTACCAACAAAAGTGATTGAAACCCATCGAATTCTGTTTGTCTCTAGATCCAAGATATTTAAAATGCAACCAGGCAACAAACCACCATTGTGAATCTAAGCCACGTTTGCTATAGACTTTTACGGATCACCATACTCATTTTACCCTGATTACAAATATATCATAAACCTTTACAAGATGTATAGTCAACACTAGCAGTTTGGTTAGACAACTTCAAACTTGCTTCTTACATACTAATAAAAGGGGGGCCCGCATGCCCTTTTCCGTAGAGCGTAATCGGCCGTTTTAATTCTACGTAGAGCGTTGTAGCCACTTGGAATTTATCGTAAAGCGTAATCAAGAGCTCTCAAAATTTAGCGTAGAGCGTTGTGGGACCCCCCTCCCCCCTCCATGCAGGTCCCCATGAAAAACAACAGGAAAGTAACATACCGCTGTGTTGCACACGAATGACGACCTGGCAACAAAAAAAATCGCCTAAAAATTGGGTTAATATCAGGAGAATGTATCAGGTGTTCACGAATTGTAGTTCTGATTGGTCAGAAGTGATAAGGCCATAAGGTCAGAGGTCACTCAGCAGGTACTCTGCCTGGGACATTTTACTGTCAAGTAAAATTATTCCGCTCCAGTTGTCAGATAAATAATACGTTCCACATGATTTCACTTTTTGGCGACGCCTCAGGGGCGATTGTTGGCGACGCCTTTGGGGCGGAGGCATTTGTGTAAGTACTACGATCGCTTTGAAAGAATTTCAAAAATTGCACGAATGCGTTCCCCAGGGAATTGGTTTGGAGGAAACCTTCGGCCATGTGGTTTTTGGATCAAGCAGGTAACTTACACCGGGTGCCCACGTGTCACCCATCCAGCTGCCTGGCATGATTAATTAGTGGTCATCCGTCTTCTCCCCACACCATGGACAGAGAGCACAGCTGTCTTTGGCCAAAGACCATATTCAAACAGGTCACAGAGAGAAAAGAAATTATCCGTCCTTTTGGAACCCACAAAAGGTAAAAAAAAGTCAAAGGAGTAACAACTTCAGACCAGACATAAAATCCAGTCTCTGGTGGAGGATAGAGTGAAGTGGAGGATGGTTTTCAGCTTGGTTCTAGCGGGAACTCGACCAAAGTAAAGTAAGTAAATATGTCATCATAAAATCTATATTGCTGGGGAAGAACGGCTGATTCCTCCTATACGTGTATTTGGTATATTGCCGGGCCCCACACCTCCTCCACCCATCCTGTAGATTTCACTACGTGCATGTCTTTATAACATAGGGAAATATGTTTTTCTGATAATTGTATATTTGTAGATTGCTAGCTCCACCACATGAAATAATATATATCATTCAGTCGTCGCCTTGGCAATGATTTTTATTGCCTCAGCCTTGTTGGCGACGCCTCAGGGGCGGAGGCATTTGTGTAAGTACTGCGATCGCTTTGAAAGAATTTCAAAAATTGCATGAATGCATTCCCTAGGGTATTGGTTTTGAGGTAGCCTCCGGCCTTGTGGTCATCGGAACAAGCAGGAAAGGCTTATGTTACCATGCATGCAATAGCACCTTTTCGGGCAAACTGTGGCTTTTTGCACACAGAATATTAATGATTGTCTTTATTGATATTTCAAATATGTTTTCTTCTATCAAAAGAGAACAAATTTCTTGCTCAGGAGCAGCATATTCAAGCTTATAATATTTCAAATATGTTTTTAGTTGCAACTATATGATGCTGGTCGTTTTTTATAACTTTACTGTGTGACACATGTAGTGTAACAGTGATGTTTTGTGTAAGGAATTTTATTCACTTGTGTGTTTTCTATCATGTATGTTTGTGTCAGTCTTGCTTTTTTATTTATTATTTTCTTCGCTTTCATGATGCTGTTGCATTCCATGCTTGTTTTTCAATTTTCTTGGCTGCAAAACATGAATGCACACCCCAATCCTTCCACGACTAGGTTTCATGCTAAGGTTTCATGCTAGCCAGTGAACTCCTGCTGTAGTCTGGATCTCAGGGTGGGCATGGCGAAGTTTACCTGTGGGTATAAAAAGAGAAAAGGGCATAAATGAAACGTATATCTGAATTAAGTTTGAATAAGTTCTTGTATTGTACTGGTAATTGTGAGTTGTTATGTATCACCTTATGGACAAAAATGGCTGTTTGAAACTTATTTATGTCATATACCGTCAAGATTTTCAAATCGTGAAATAGAACCATATTATAATTGTAATAAAAAGTTTAAGAGTATTTCATTTCAGTATAGCCTGGCAGTTAGACCATCGTAGACTGCCTGGTATCCGTACGGTGAGTTGAGTACTGCCCGCCCGCTCAAATCAATTAGTGCATGCCAGGGTGTTTACGGGGTTGGTTTTGTTTGCCTACATGATGACAATAACTAGAAAGGTCAACTGGAAAGATTTATAGCTAGTATGTCAAAAGAGGTTTATGTCTAGTATGGCTGGGGCCTGTAGAACAACCCTTAGAAAGCCAAATATGTATCTATCTGTTGGAACGCCGTGGTTAGAATTGCTTTGCTGTAGGTGGAACGTGTGTCAGAACTAGCATGACCTACGAATTCGGACACTATTCAAGCTCATGAATAGGTGAAATCTCTAACCTAACAAAAGCAGCGAGTATCAGACAAACATTTGGGAGGGTACACAAAATGTTTTAAGTTGAATGATGTTAAGTTGTTATGAAACAGGCATTTGACACTTTTGTAAGAAAGAAAGTGAAAGTACACACGTAGCCTGTGTAGGTCAAAATATACTCCTACTACTACAGGAATCGATGGTCAGGGACAGGCAAGCCTAGTCAACCTCGGGTACAATTTCTGGATAAAGATATGGCTTTATATAATTTTTTCTAAGACCACTGATAGTATCGACTTTCTAGCGAACATAAAACAATGTAGTTAAG